TTCCGTTTGATGTGTTAAACAAGTTTATCTATAGTCTTGAATGTATCTAGATTTACATAAATCTTAAATACTTATATAAAATTTTATAGTCATACATTTACAGTATTATCTCTAATATGGGATGCAATGTTTTGTCTCATGTTAAAAAAAATTCAGACATTAATAAGTTGGTGACAATAAATTTGAGGGGAACAGGGAAATCCTCAGAAATGCGTAAAATCTGAATGTAAACCCAAACTAGCTCTTATATTTAAGTTGAATAAGTGGGACAGAAGGAGAAATGGTTATGAATGATTCCCTCAAGAGTTAACCCACAAGTTGCCCCTGCCTCTGCAGGGGAATGCAAACACAGTTATTATAAGCTCCTAAAAATTAAGGTGTTAAGTAACTTGACTTCCCTCTGGGCCCAGGAGCTCACATTTCTCCCCAGAAGTCCCCTCTTTGCAGACATTCAGCTTAATTCATTTACCTGCTTGGATACAGGGCAGACCTCCTCCCCGCCACCCACATTAAATTCACCCTTTACCCTGAGATACCCAGATGCTCGCAGTGCATGCTTCCTGTGATACGTGGTATATGTTCACTGTTCTTAACTAAATTCCTCCCAACCCCCTTTCCTGACATTTGAAGGTATCTATATGCCTCCGGCAATTTTATTTCTGGAGAAAAAAAGTTTTTGACAACACTGCATGTCATTGGAATGCAATACAATCATCTCAACTCCCCCACCCAATTGATCTGCTCATTAAGTCTGGATTTTTAAGTCCGTCTCCTTAGAGCCAGGCAGCATGATACTATTCACTGATCACTGAATAGCTTTACGTTGGCACTTAGGCAAGGACCCAGACGGGGACTGTGAAAATCTGTTTCCTACTCTGTTCTCCTTTTGCACTTGAAATCTTACATATGTGCTTGCACTGAACTTACAGCTCACATGAGAGGAAGCACACAAGAGGTAGAACTGTAACTGTTTTCTCTTGTTTAGAAAAACAAAATGTAAAATCCGCTCACCAAAAAATATGAAGGTCAGTAGTGGCAGAGAAGGATTTTACCTTAGTCCTCAATGGTCTTGCACCCAGGATAGTGAGAGAGACTTTAAGTTGAAAAACAGTTTAAGATGTAAACCTCTAAAAGACAAGCCTCAAATATAAATATTTTGGAGACAGAGCAATATTGCTCTCCTTAGAGGGTTTCAAAGCTTGGCAGCTAAGTTAACATGCAAAACAGCTGAAGAAAATAGAAACAATAATTGAATGTGTAAAGGGTATGAAGAATGAGTAAATATGGGAAAAACCCAAGGTTAACAAATTACCTGACATTTTCCTGGTCCTTCAGATCTAGAATTCTGTGATGCTTTGAAATTCCACATACAATCTTGTTTTAATACAACATACTGTTAAATGACCATTTACATAGATGGCCACAGACCTTTTTATGGACCCAGAAATCCATAGAGAAGGTCTAATTGCTGGCAAAAAAAAAATTCGTTCTTAATTAAAAAAACACCTGCCCATAACTTCATCATCAATAAAAGACTGCCGCTGTTGAAATGCTGAGATTTCCTTCCACCTCCCCAGGCCCTGACCTGGGGCTTATACAATCATGGGACTACTTCTAGCCAAGGGAAAAGGGATGCTTGAGAGAAAGAATTCCTCCCTAAAGCTTTTCTAACAAAATCCATAGGGCATGCTTCATTGTCTCAAACTGATAATGACACAATGACCTCTCAGAAAGCTTCTTAACTGTCTGGCGAAGGTAATCCAAAGGCTAACACACCAAAACTTGAGCTGACCTAACATAACCATTATGTTTAAAACTTCCCTTTCTGATGGGAAGAGTACAGGTAGAGGCAGAGCAAGATAGATGTCTGTGTGTATGCGCGCACGTCTGTGTGTAAAGGGATGACTGAATTCTGGGTTAAGTACATATGATGAGTAAGCTTGAAAAGGAAAGTCAAATGAAAATATACATTTCACGGTAAATTATAACAACAATGAAATTTCTCCCCAAAAGTAAATTATTTATAAAAGTGAGTATCTGTGTGGGGAGCAGAGGGGATCAGGGAGACGCATGAAGCAGTTTAGGGAGAAGGCACCTTACAAGACACAGAGAACAGCTCTAGGCTTGGGATGATTGGGTCGTAAGTTTTGAGTGACTCACTAACCTAGTGGGGAGGGTGTGGGTGATGTACTGCATTCCTCCGGGCTTCAGTGTCCTATAAACGGAGAGGGGCTGGGTGGGCACCTCTGAAATAGACGTGCATGTAATGGCTAATCTTCAACAGCTAC